TGTGTGTGTGTGTCTATATATATATATATATATATATATATATATATATATATATAAGTTATAGATGTTGTTTTTTTAAGATTAATGAAATATTTGATCTTGGTATTTAGGTGATTATCACTAGCCACATAACTTATGTTTCTTGGATAATCATCTTTGGTATATTCATTCTTCATTTTATATAATTTTACTCAATTTAATCACTATCATACAAAAAAAAAAATTGATACCAAGGTTTTTGATTTAAGTTAAATAAAAATTTGAGCAATGAAAGGTGAATATGTCTAGATTAATATATTTGAAAATTGAAATTTTGTCTATTAGAAGATACAAATAAAAATATCATCTTCTATCATTAATCAAGATGACTGAGAGTTAATACATAATAAAGTATTAAGAGTTATTCACTCACCATTAACCATAAATATTGTCTTTAAATTTCTCAATGAAAAATAAATTATATATGTAATAAAATAATTATTAGCTACAACTTATGCATAAGTTTTTTAATATTGGGATGTCAAAATGAGTCTCCATTGCTGACCACACTAATGAGTTAACTTGCCATGAGTTAGCTAAGCTTAGCAGACAACTACTTCAATGATGAAATTCATGCATCGAGTTTGTTTTTTTTTACTCCTAAAAGTTAAAAGTACATAACAATATTCATTAGTAGCCCCACTAGGTAAAAAAAAATTAAAGTTAAATGACATTAGGGACCATATTCTTGGCAAAGATATTCAAGTACATAAGATATGTAAAATATATTTTTCTTATTTGGATATTAATAAGAAAGTAGTTGTCAAAATAAAAGCAATTATTAAGGTAGATCTAGATTCAAATCATAAAGTAAAAAGCCAATATACATATTATAACAAAAGGAACTCCAGAAATAAGAGCACAAATGGGAAAAAAAGAATTGATTGTTAGTATTGAAGAACATAGATGCGTTAATTCTTAGTAGAAAAAATCTAATGAAATTTTAGATATTTGAATCGAGTGCATCATTAAATTTTTTTCTTATAAAAAATTGATGAAAAATTACTTTACAAAGCATTATGACAAAATAATTCATATAAATAATTATCCCTTAAATATTATGAGCATTGGTAAAATAATAACTCAAATCATAAATAATGATAAATAAATTTAAATACAATGATGCACATTTCTTAACCTACGGAGAAGGTTATAGAGCCATGATGATTACTGAATAAAATAAGATTAGTACACTCTAATCCACCACAAGTAAATGAAACATAATAAGTGCAATATGTTTAATTATAGAGATTAATATTTTTCATCATGGATTAAGCCACCAAATGAAGTAGGGCTTAAAGACATTTCATTCTTAAAATTTTGAAGAAAGGTTAACACTAAGAGGATATCACTAATTCATACAAATGTCTAGGGGCCTTCCTCCATCCCCTACTAGATGACCCATTATTTTATGTCATCTTTATTGACGGAAGTCCAAGAAAATATATAACAAATATAAAATTTTGTGTTTAATAATTTAGGTACATGAAAAAATCAAGTTAAAAAATTAGATTAATATGATAATTAAATGTTTATAATTTGGCCGTAATGAAGAGCATGATAGCATAAAGTTCAAAATTTTGTATGCTACTATTAGTATTCTTATAAGGAGAATGGTCATATGAATTGCTCAATAGAATGGAGCCAGTGAAAGAATGAAAATGACTTTAACTAAATGAAAAAGAGCTTGGGAGTGCATGCATGGCTACCAAAATATTTTAAACTAGTGCAATAAATATAACAACATTCCCATTAATTAAGGTCCATATGTAGCTCTTAATTTTGAGTTTCTAGAAGTGATTTAGATTAAGACTTGGATATGTCTCTCATATTTAAGATTTTTTTATTTATATTTTTATATGTATACATGCAGTGATGGAAGTTAAAAATTTGACCCAAAAAAAAAAAAAAGTTCTTTATTGATTATGGTGTTAATGACTTTAGAAATAGATCTTAGGATGTTAAAATTTTCAAATTAAATAAAGGTGAGATTTTTATTATGAAAAAAACAAAATGTATAAATGCAACTAAATTTAATTAAAAAAGAAACATTCACTACATAGCATATTGTATTTAAAAAGCAATTTAATTTTGATATAAAATAGGTGAAACTCCAAATAATGATTAAAATAAGCCTTAACCTAGTATTTTCATAGTGCGAATAAAATAATCGTTAGAAAAATCTAAATTTTACTAATCATCATCTTCTTTTTCTATATTACTTCTTACTTATTGATGGGGGCGAACCAAAATGCTATAAAGAAGCTATAAAAATTAAATATTCAAGAAGAAAAAAATTATCTATACAATTAACACCTAAAACTATTTAATTAATACAAACAAAAATAAAGCTCTACATAATAAGTAGATTTATGAAATAAAATAGAAACATAATAGCCAAAATAGATACAAGATGAGGCTAATAATTAAATGCTTCTAAGATTTTCTATCATGGTGTCAAATTAATAGATGCAAAAAACTTGTACCTAGATCAAATGATTGTTAACTCTACTTTTCTTTATAATAATTTTAATAAAAAAAATCAACATGATTCAATTTAAAGGCTTTTTCAAATAAGATAAAAAATTTAAGTCCACAAGCTAAAAAAACATATATAATTTGAACCAAACATTATGCCAATGATATGAAAACTTTGATAAATTTATTCATAAAAATGACTTTTATAAATATTTTTTTGTCATTGTTGTTTGTAAAAAGGCACTTGTAAGGATTGTATAATTCATATTTATACATTAATTATTGAAGTTGATATTAAGAAAAGTAATTGTATTAAAAGATAAGTGTCAAAGTAATTTGACATGAAAGACATGAGAGAAATAAAAATGATGCTTGAAATAGAAAAAAAAAATGATGATAAAGCTACATGATATTTGGATATATCAAAATCTCAATACATTAAAACAACATAAGAAAGAATTAAAATGATGAAAAAAATGGTGATCAAGCAACTTATAAGTCACTTCAATCTTTCAAAATAATAGTTATCAATGATAAATAAAGAGAAATATTACATGAAAAATATTTCTTACATTTTAGTAACTAGATTTTTTTAGTTTTACAATTGTTTACACAAAACCAAATATTAAATATATAATATTAATTTTTAGTTAAAATATGTCAAATTCAATAAATGAATGTTGAAAGGTAGTAAAGCAATTCTCACATAGCCAAATGATATAATTAACCAATAACTAAACTTTACAAGTGTTGACTTGAAAATATAGAGTTATTTTAATGCAAATTTGAGAGAGACCAAAATGCAAAAAGAAGTACTATTAGATACATCCACTCCTCATGTGACATCGACATTAATTATGTCATAACAAAAAAAGGTTAGATACATTATCAATAATAAAAATTAAATATGTAACTATCACCAATGCCACCAAAGGATAACGAATTGAAAAGATTTCAAGGAGAACTGAATTGATCATATGAAGTTATTTTTTTGATTTTATGGCAATGTCATTAAATCGAAAAAGAATGCTACATTTCATCTTGAAATAAAGCACATTAAACACAAGGATCATTATGAATACAACTTACTTGAAGATGATGTCATATAATTTATTAAAATTAAATGAGTAATAAATCTTGCAATATGCTTATAAAAGCGATACTCATTAGACACGAGATGCGTAAAGCCTCAGTTAACCTCCATAATGATGATAAAATAGTATTTTATAAGGACATGTTTTGACGTTAAACGCTAAATAAGTATATCACAAATTTTGTCTCCAAGTGGGATATTGCTAAGATATAGTCATAGATTTGTTTAACCTATTTTATTTTTTTCCTAAAAAATTTGTGGCTATTGTTGTCAATTAAATATACATCAAGTGGTTTAATCCATAATAAAATCTTAGATTGTGCAATAAGCGTGTCTTGCATGATTATTCTTCCATACACTCTTCTTAATAAATTGAAGCAAAATGTATCTATAATTAGCTTCTCCTTCTTTTGATTAGTTGGCTAGAGAACAATTTTGATGGCAGCACCAAATATTACCTTGAAATTTCATGCCACAATGAAAATCATATAAATTAGATTTTTAGGCATATGCTTTAAACCTTCAGCTTTCTACAACCGCCCATCTATTTATACATGAACAAAATTTATACGGGCATTTAGTTACACATCACACTATTCTTATATATTTACATATCTAACTGAAACTTTTCATAACTAATAATAAAGACACAGACCATAACAAAACTTCAATAATTGCAACCAGCATAAATAGATTATTAGAAGTAGAATGTATGTAGAGTTGGGTCACAAATAATGCTCGAAATTATTTGGTTAATGATGCAAATCAATATAAGAAATTTTGCAGAGTGAGGTTCACTTATTTCTTAGGCATTATGAACAGATTGACTGAGCCTCGAAACAATAAATCAAAGAATAAATAAAACAATTAAGTTCTCCAACATTCTGTCATCAATATAATGAATTACTGGAGGAAGAACTTTCCTGGTTCGCTGTAGTTCATCTCTAACTGCTCAAGTTTCTCGATCACAAATCCTCTGATCCGGTTTTCCTCCGGTAAGGACTTGTCTTTATAATCAATTGGCTTGAGAGCCCATCCTTTGTTTTGGACTGAACCGTTTAACCTACACATTTAAGAGTTGCTACACTTCTGAGAGAGAAGAAAAGGAGTTTTGAAGCAAATAATTTAAAACCAATTGGAAAGTCCCAAGAGGCTTTTGTGGTAGGGGTGTAAACGAGTCGAGCTTGAATGAGCTTAGTGTTTGCTCATGTTCAGCTCGTTCAAAATTTTATTTGGTTCAAAATAAGCTTGTGTTCAAAATGGCTTGTGAATAGCATGCTTGTGTTTGGCTTAATTCAAATTTGTTTGTTCGTTTCGGCTTGCATTCAACTCAAAATAGCTAGAATGATTTATAAAATAAAACAATTGAACATTTTTTAAATATAACAAAAAATCAAGATACATATATTCTAATGGTATTATATATTTTATTAATAAATTAAATCGAGTCAAAACAAAACAAACGTGATTAAATAAATATTTGTTTGTGTTCGGCTTGCTTATAAATTGAGCTCAAAATCACTATTTGTGTTTAGCTTGTTTGCTTAACGAATAAATCGAACACGAACTACTTAATAAGTGGAAAATGAGTTGCTCGCGATCGATGAGCATTTTAAAGAGAACAAGTTACACACCTCAGCTTCACTAACAGCATTGATCAGAATTGCTCCATCCAACGACAGGTCTTCAAGGTAAATATTTGGTCCATTAATGACCATGGTAGATTTCTGGGAAATAGAGCATCCTTTATTTACTTTTCTTTTCACATCTGAAAATATGAGAGCCCAGTTTGGTTTCCAGGTGATTCTTGGCCAAACTTCCACTTCTTGTCCGTTGAATACTGCAGTTGTAGGATCAGGTATTTGGACTCCAGCCTAAAAGACAAGCATGAATGAGAAGGTTTATCTTGTTTTGCTTAAAAGGAGAAAAATATGTCAAAGCTTTAATGAGTTTAGAATTCCATAACCAATCAATGAAGAAGTACGGAGAAACTTCGAGGATATTTAGAATCAACTTGTTTTTTATTTTTATTTTGTTTTGTTTATATTTTCTTTCAAAATAAAATATATTTGACATGTTCAAGTTAGTTATAATTATTTTGAAAAGAACTCAAAGCATCTAAAATTTTTTCAGTGTATTTTTGAAAAGAAATGATTTTAAGAAAATAGAAAATATAAAAAATACACCAAATAAATATATTTTTGAAAAGAAGGAAAAAAAAAATAATAATAAACTATTCCAAAGAGACCCCCAACCTTGATTTACCAAAACATGAACACGGAAGGCATCCTGCTGTAATTAATTTCAGACCATAAATATCAACAAATATTATGGCCTATTTGGAATCAATTTTTTTTTATCTGTTTTTGTGTATTCTTTTGTTTTAAAAACAAGTTTGTTTAAGCTCAACTTGGATGCATAAGGTGTGCAAATTATAGATGAATTAAGTTAATGTGTCGTGTATTAAAGTTATGGGAGAGAATAACTGAACATAGGTTGCGACGATACAAATATTTCTCAAAATTAGTTTGGATTCATGTCAGGCAAGTCTATTATGTAAGTTATACCTTTATAAAAAAATTTGAGGGGGAAGTACAGAGAGTGTAAAGAGGATCAACATATGATTTTTATTGATTTAAAAATAAATTATAATATGGTTCCAAGAGAAATACATTAGAGAGTTCTAGAAAAAAAATGTGTTGATATTGCTTATATTCAAGTCATTAAACATATGTATACTAGAGTTGTTACTAGCGTTCGAAAACAGAAAGGATTGGCCAAGTATTTTCCTATTCCATTTGGAATACATTAGGGACCAACTTTTAAGTCCATATATTTTTGCTTTAGTTATGGATGTTCTTATTGAACATTTACAAGAGGATGAACTTTGGTGCATGTCTTTCGTTGATGATATCCTTCTTGTGGATAGGATTAGAGAGAGAGTTAAGGAAAAAATTGATTTATTAAGGTCAGATTTAGAACCTAAAAGCTTTTAATATTGTAGCAATCCAATCTTAAATGTAGAAGTTATATCCTCATCTACAAATCCTTTCTTCTATATAATGGATCCAACATACTTAAGACTATCACAACTAGGTATCACCTAATTGTCTATAACTTTTAAACATTTTCTCCAATCTTCTAATTATTTATTTATTGTAGTGTAAGTTTTATCATTTAAGACTATAAATTTTAGTGTAAGTTTTATCAATTAAGACTATAGCAAATACAAAAAGCAGACTCCCACGAAACCTTCGTTAAATGTGTGCATTTTGCATTAAAATAAAATAAAAAAAAAGTACAAAAGAGAGCTATAGAAGCTAAACAAAAAAAGCAACTTTGTTGGCATCATCCTCAACCATGCTTGAAAAATCGGGGTCACAAGTGTGAGCCCCCCAAAAGAAAGACCTATCCAAAGTAAGCCAAGCACAAAAATAGGCTCCTTTGTTACATTCTCTATGCACAAAAAAGAAAATGACTTAACAAAAATCAAAAAGAAAAATAAGATCAGAATCACCAATCTCCATGTGACAGCCTTCATCCATTGTAAGTATCCCATAACAAATAAAAAAGTTATAGACTTTGATCAGAACTTCTTGTTAAAAAAAATACTTGCCCTCCTTAGTCACTCAACAACTGTTTGTAATATTAAAGAGTACTCCATTTATACATAACTTTAACAATGTCACTATATGTTTGGCACAAACTATACTGCTTTAAAGCACATCAAATAAATTTCCAAGATACTTGATCATATTTTATCAAAGTTCAATAAAACATATATGAAAATCCTTCATTTATTCTCCATCTTTACTTCATTAATTGCTTAACATAAAAAAAGAATTTTATAGTAGTTTTTTTGGCATGAAATCAAACTGGTTCTTGAAAATTGATGCATTTTTTTCTGACGTTATGGTTCATTACTCTCTCTCATAGTTTAATTGTATGAGTGATACATTTTATTCCTCTATCCTCTATAAATGATACAATCATTCGTACCTTTTGGTACAAAAAATGCGTCTTCTCTAATCATTTGCCATTCCCTTGGCCTTCAAAACTCTATTGAAAATATTTTATAAACAAATCACTACAAGATTAGCCATAATTTTTCAAATTTCAATTGTATCTTGTTTAGACATACGTTGCCTATTAAGCAACTTTTACTAGCAAAATCCACTCAAATTTTTTAGAATCAATCTATAGTATTATTCATAATATTGTTTGTCATGCTTTTCTAAGAGAAAATCATGGACATGCTATAGAGATAACAACTGGCTCATATGCATCCCTATCCTATCCGCCTCTGCTAAATAAATATAACCCCTCCATACAATTTATGGAACCGAATTACAATGTGGTATTTTAGGAACAAGAATTATGCTCTGCTGAGATCTCCATAACACATAAACTTTACTTTCCATGGCTAAAACATAAAAATTCATTCCATGCAGTTGCAAAGTCATACTAAGTTAAAAAAAAAAAAATGGAAAAAATCATGGGTATAAACTACAATAAGTAATAAAATAATAGGCGGATCAATTCAAAATGAAACTTAGAAAGAATTATTTCAAATTAAAGCTGCCACATTAAAACCACGGACACCTCAGGACTGCTTGATAAACAGTAAATAATCTCCATATTCCACCTCTTTATTCTATTACCCAACAATCAGTTATCTTACACCAACCATATGACACTGAAATAGACTGGTTGATAGATATAATAATCGCATTTAAATAAAATCCGAGTAAAAAGAGTATAATCCCATCCACCTAAATTTACATGCTTACCATAAAATACAAGCCATATGAGTAAAACTCATTAGACATATAACCATCCCACCCATATCAGTAGTCAGTACTAGTAGCCTTCAACGTACTGTTCACATACCCAAAAGGAGAAAAAGAAAAGCTGAGGGAGGTAGGGAGAGAAAGAGACTCGCACCTTTCTTAGGATGAGACTATTTGCCCTATAGATTGCCATTTCTCCGGATGTTGCACTATGATAAGGATTTCCAGCAGGTACCTTTAAAGAATAAAATGTAAGACAAGAAACGTAGATTGATGAATAAAAACTCGTACGCATTGAATGAAGAAAAAGGGAAGAGGAACAGCTATAAGATATTGCTGCTAATTGGTACAAATTAGACTGGATATGTTATTAGTTTATCATCATAAGTTAGTATTTACTATTTGCTGGTATTCCACCAAATTTTGAAGTACTATTGATATACCACCTTATTCTTTTAAACGTGCTAATAAATCATTCTAGATAGTTGATATTAATTGGAAAGAAAATTTCTATTAACTTGAAAAGAATATTCTTTTTAAATATCTTTAAGAAACCATACATTCCCTTATTTACAAAAAAATGGATAAGATTGGCTTTATCATGTTCTCTTTGAAGATAAAAAAAATGAATTTTATATAGATAAGAGAATTTTCCCTAGCTCTTATTCCCCTCATCGGAGGCTCTCCCTGAAGCCGGCAGCCCTTGCAAGCCCTCTGCGGGATCGGCTCCTCTCTCTCCCAGCAAGCAATCCTTCCCTTGCGCTTCCTAGCAGCATGCGCCCGGGATTTTTCTACGAACAGAAGCCGCGGCCGGCTGCACACTGAGAATTGCGACCTGAGCGGACGTGATTTTTCTGTTTCTAGTGGAATTTGGGCCTCAACCATATCTCCCTGCTGGTGCTCAAACAGCCTTGCATCATCAACAACCGTTCTGTTCTTACCTTCACATGAGGTATCAGTCGCACCCTGCCGCCCTTCAGGTTCGTCCTTCCAAAGCAAGCACAACAGGCGTTCCTCATCTCACACCATCAATAGGAATTCTTGCCAACCCTAAGCATGTATAGAGCTTATGACAAAATAATACATGAAGATGTCTACCTCTACATTGGAGGTTAGTTCAGAATCAGAGACCAAGAATTCTATCCAACTAGTCCTAGAACCTTTTTCAGAAGCCATAAACTCAACGATTCCTTTAATGATCCCAATTTGTGTTTATGTACATTTGTATAAAAGGAAGAGAGGAACACTTTGTAGGAGATGACACAATTTCTAAGTTCGCTGATCCTAACCATTGCTCATGGAAGATCCAAGATCATATGATCATGTCATGATTGATCAATTTCATGACCGCAAAAGTAAGAGAAAATTTCTTACCTTACAGAACAACATAGAACAAAAAATTTGAGAAGCAGCTTGTGAAACTTATTCGAGTATAGAAAACACTTCAAAAATTATTTGAATTGAGATAAAATTGCATAAGTTTCAACAAAAAGAATTAAGTGTTACTCGATACTTTAACACGCTATCCATATATTGGTTACAATCAGATATAAAATGATAGCGGAGAAGAAGAAGATGATAAAGTTCTTGTTGGGCCTAAATAAGATCTTATATGAGGTCAAAGGAAGAATTATAAGAATGAAGCCACTTCCTACCACTAGCGAAGCCTTTACTTAAGTTCAAAGAGAAGAAAGCAGAAAGAGCTCATGATAGCAGGTAGTGTGGAGTACCGACACAACACTTCAAATGAGTCAAAGACAAATAAGTATCATCCCTATGTGAAAATTGCAAGAAAAATAGTTACACAAAGGACTAGTGTTGAAAACTACATAGAAAACCTGCATATTAGAAACTGGGGCAAGGGAGGACAGACCAAGACCGCAAGGTCTATGCTGCTACCTCTATTGAAGAATCAACTGAACCTTGTCCCTTCACTACGCAACAGCTCGAGCTGTTGAAACAACTTCTTTCGAGCATAACTGAGGAGTCTGTCAGCTTAATGATACATCAAAGTATAATGTCCTCTTATCTCGCTATTAATGAGAGATTTCGACCATAGATAATAAATTCAGGTTCTTCTGATCAGATGATTGGAGATATTCATGCTCTCAGCAAGTATCAAAAGTTTGCCTGCTCCAATTTGTTAGACTGGTCGATGGGTCTCACTCCAGGATTATTGGAAAACTAGAAGTAAAAATCTTCAAAGTGATTCAGCTCTCTTATGTGCTATATTATCCACAATTAGATTACAACTTATTTTCAATCAACAAGATTACTCTTGACTTGAACTGTGTTACTGAATTTCACCCCAACTCTCATGAATTTCAGGTGGTTGATTTGAGGAAGGTGATTGATAGTGTTCAATTGCATCAAGATCTATAGCTGCTCGAGAAAGATTATTCTCTTGACATACGGGTGTCTTCTTCACCATCTTCTGCCCTTGTTCTTCAGTTTTCTTGAGTCTGGTGTGCTTGAGTATGTTAAGAGTCAAGTTTTGTTATGATACTGTTGTTTGGGTCATCCCAATTTTAATTATGTTGCAAAATTATATTCTCATCTTTTTATTAATAAAAAGCCAGAGTCTTATCAATGTGAAACTTGTCAATTAGCTAAAACATACTCGTCATTTATATCATTTTTCTCAGTACAAACCTTCACAATTTTTCTGTATCATCTACAATGACATTTAAGGACCATCAAAATTGAGAACCATCAATATTGTGAGATGATTTATCTCCTTTATTGATAACCACATTAGTATTAGTTAATTATTTTCCGTGAAGGAAAAATCTGAAACAACATAAATTTTTTAATCTTCTCATAACATGATTTTTACTCAATTCCAATGTAAAATTAAAATTCTCAAAACTAATAATGCAAATGAATACTTCAACTCTATACTTGGATTCTACCTTGCAAATAATGGTATCATCTAAGTAAGTCTCTATGTTAAGACTCCTTAACAAAATGAAATATCTGAGAGAAAGAATAGACAATTCCTTGAGGTATCTTGTTCTATAATGCTCTCTTACAATGTCCTAAAATGTTTATGGGGAGATGTTGTGCTCACAATAAAATTTCTAATTAATAGAATGCCAAGTAGAATTCTTGGATTCAAATCCCTTCTCGATATTGTGATGAAAAAATACCCTCAAATCAGAGCCTTCTAATACAATCTTCCTTTAAAAATATTTGGTTGTATTTCTTTTGTTCATATTCTCCAACAAAATCACACAAAACTTGACCTAAAATTAATTAAATGTATCTTCCTAGGGTATGCTTCTAACAAAATTTTTTATTATTCTCCTATAATGAAAAAAAAATACTATAACTTCATGGATGTTATTTTCTTTGAAAACCAACTCTATTTTCCCAAATCTGATATTCAGGGGAAGAATTCAGGTGAATATCAGACTTGGGACTCCACTTTGGATAACCAACACTGATCTAGAGTCTTCACAACTTATTCTCCTTCCATCTAACCATTTTGCTTTTCAAGTTCATCCTATTAAGCACATCTAATTAGAGATTAAAAACAAGAAACCCCATGTGTATATTAGGAGAAATAAATCTACTGAGCAAAATAAAGACAATATGCAACCACATGATTGTTCACAACCAGACTTGAATTCATGCATCTTTGTGATTCCAAGGGAAGGGGAATCCTGTGGAGAAGACACAGAAAATTGCACAAATTATCATATCAAGGAGTGTGTTGCCTATGAGAAGTTATCAACTTATAATGTCTTTGTATCTAACCTTGACAGTGTGCTAATAACCAACTCGATTCATGATGCACTCCAAGTCTAGAATGAAAAAAAGTGGTTGAAGAAGAGATCCAAGCACTTAAACTAAATGGCATGTGGACCCTTACAAAGCTTCCTCAAAATAAAATACTAGTTGGATGCAAATGAGTGTTCAAAAGTAGATATAGAGCAGATGAGAATATTGAAAGGTTCAACGCTAGGTTGGTGGCCAATAATTTCACTCGATCTTATGGCAAAAACTATAAAGAGACATTTGATTCAGTGGTCAAATTAAACACTGCAAGTGTTCTTCTCTATTTAGCAGTGAATAACGGATGGGAATTGCATCAACTTGATATCAAGAATGCATTTTGGAATGGAAACATGAAACAAAAGTATATATGAAAAATCTCTCTCAAATAAATCAGACTTGTATACTAAAAGTCACTTTATGGCCTTAAAATAATCACCAAGGGCTTCATTTGATAAGTTTGTCAAGACTATGAAATCTAATGGGTACATTCAATGACAAGCAGATCATATGTTGTTGATAAAGCATACACATGGAGGTAAGAAAGCGACATTCATTGTCTATGTTGATGATATCATCTTGATATGTCATGATGACAGAGATTGGAAAGATTAAGGATGTTCTTGCTACTAAATTTGAAATTAAGGATCTATGAGCAATGAGATACTTCATGGGCATGGAAATTGTGAAATCCCAAAAGAACTTAGACTGATTAAAAGAAATAGGAATGCTAAGGTGCAAGCCTGCTGAGGTTTCTTTGGATTTGAATAAAAAATTACAGTCAGGAAGAAAAGAAATCAATGGAATAAGATAAATACCGAGCATTGGTGGGTAAAATTATTTACCTGTCACACAATAGATCTAATATCACTTACTCTGAGAGCATAGAGCAACATGTGAACAATCCAAATAAAGAATATTTGGAGATGATATATGAAATATTAAAATTTCTTAAAAAGACCTTTGACAAAAAAAAATTGTTCAAGAAATCTGGCAATAAGGATGCAGAGGTGTTCACTAATGCAAGTTGGATAGAAAAACTCTCAGACAAAAGATCTACCTTTGGGTATTGTTCCCATGACTCGGAAAATCTTGTCCAATGGAGGAGCAAAAAATAAGCAGCGGTCTTCAGAAGTAATGCAAAATCGGATTGTCGGGCACTTTCTTTGGGAATTTGTAAAGAAATATGGATTTAAAGGTTACTAAATGAGCTAGGATACTCCAAGGTTAATCCCATAAAGATGTTTTTTGACAGCCAAATTGCCATCAGTATTGCAAAGAATCTTACACATCATGAGAGGACCAAACACATTGAGATTGATAGACATTTTTTCTCTAAGAAGGTCAATGGAGTCGTTATTCACTTAATCTACATTTTGAATCATCTTCAAGGTGTTGATGTCTTCATAAAATCTCTTCCTCGAGGCAGCCTCATGGATTTGAACACCAAGCTGAGTC